CGAACGCAACACACGCGAACCGAACCGAGACAGTCGAAACCGAATGATTCGGACGGTTTTCATAAACCGTTCCATCCCTAATACGAATAACCTAATAGTGTACACTTAAAATGTAAACAATAAAAATACTGTACTGTAAAGTATTTTAACAATATAAAACTGCACCTGGAGAATAAATAACCAATATACAGCTATGGACATTTTTACAGTAATGGATATTTGAAAGTAGCAGCAACATCAGACATGTGCAAAATGACAACAGCATATTTAACTAAGGTCTCTGTCATTACATCTGCTTTATTTGTTGAAGCTCCTGGTGGTTGTCACCTTGATTCCATTCTGTATTCTCATGAGTGTGGTCTTTGTTCACTTGCTTCACAAAAAAAAGAAAAAATAAGAATAGGAAACAGTTTTGAAAAGTTCAGTATTCATTCTTTTCCTCCTTTGTGTGTCAACTGTCACGGTTGCTAAGTGACAGAGGATGTGGTGCAGAAAGCAGCTGGAGGCTAGACCTGTTTGAATTCACAGCCAAAACTCTTCCGGTCTCTGCACTGCGAAGGACCCAGTCCAGATAAATCGGGTCCTGATAGACGCAGCTCATAAATTCGAACACAGCCATGGTCACATTGCTTTGTGAGAGCTATCCTCACAAAGCATTATGGGATTGTGGTGGTGGTAATAAATAAAAAAAGATGATGCTGGCACAAAGGCCGAGTTTTATGACTAATGGGGCGAGATAAGTAGTGATCATCTGTCTGAATGGTCATTTAACTGACCATAAAGTTCACAATTGTTCGCCGCTCTATATATTGATTGAGGGATTTAGGGGTAAGGGTGGACGTTGGGACACAGCGTATGACATGGTCTGTAACTGTTGCATTAATCCACTTCTAAATCTGTGACATTAGCAAAATCATTCTTTTCTGGGCTAAGTCGAGGACCAAATTATTGTGCAGAGTGCTGATGAAGATTCTCAGTCATCCAGGTTATAGTCATCTTTTACGGAATTGTGCAGAGGTTCAATGTATGTTCTAATTGACAGCAGGCTGGTCTGATTCTAAACCTAAAGAAAACCTATGAGGTTTTAACTTCACTGCGTCTGTCCTGCACTCCTGGTCCAGCACACCTAAACCAACTGGCCCTTTTCCCTCTTCAACATTCATTATTCAGTTGTGCAGAAGCCTCGTAAGGAGCCATTCAGGTGTGTTGGAGAAGGCATGTGCCTTAGTTATGATAGCTGCTCTCCCAGGCTATTATCATAACAACTGTGGGTTTTTAAAACCTCAACAGAGCCACAGGCTGAAGGCCTCCCTGCTGCTCTGCTGTAAATGCTATAGAGGGGGACCAAGTTTCATTTGCTGTAAGCCAAAAACATCAAAACCCAAATGTCTCATTCTATGTGGAACAAAATGATTCTCCTTTTTAAATAGATTTATTCTAATATAGTAACTTCTCAATAGTTTATTTGGGATCACCTGTTCATTTATGTGTCAGCCATGTTTGATTTTTTTTTTTTTTTTTTTTTTTTTTTTTTTTTTACTTTTTAAATATCAATTCATGAAGCCTGAATTTGTATTGACTGTCTAGGTGGTCCAAGTGTTTGGGCAATCTCCCCGGAGGAGAGGAACAAACATGATCAGAAGTTCGACACCCTCTCCCCATCGATGGGATACATTTCAGGTACAAACGCTGTTCACTAATGACAACTGACCCCATATGACTAATGAAGACAATTATATCCTGCCTGGTCTAAAATGTTTGTACTATTTCTGTAGGAGAACAGGCCAGGAAGTTTTTCCTCCAGTCAGGACTCCCTGCTTCTGTTTTGGCTGAGATCTGGTAAGAAGCACCTCTGGATAATTGCACTAAAATCTTAAAACACAGTGGTTTACCCTCACTTTTTCTTTTCTGACTCTAAGGGCTCTGGCTGACATGAATCGGGATGGGAAGATGGACAGGTTGGAGTTTTCCATCGCTATGAAGCTCATAAAGCTCAAACTTCAGGGAACACAGCTTCCATCCACGTTGCCAATCATCATGAAACAGCCTCCAGTGCCTGCTCCTAACCCTGCCTATGGTATAGTGTTATTGCTGCTGAAAGGCTGTTTACTATTTGTAGATTCATGTAGTTTTAAAATTTTGGGTTTTACTGCAGAAGGAAATATGTCAAAATAATTAAAAAAGGATGAGTTTTCAATAAGTTTAACCATTTATTTTATTTTTGCAAAATAGTTTTTACACCCATTATTTGAGCTATCTGACCCAAAAATGTTGATAATTTGTTTCAGGTATTGGTTCTGTGCCCATGATGGGTGGAACAAACTTGGCTATGATGACGCCTCTTTCCATGTCGTCCCCTGGACTCTCCCCGCTGACACCCATGACTGGCCTCACCCCAATGGCTGCGTCCACAGCTGGGATGAGCCCGCTCATCGCGTCAACCCCCACCAGGCCTCTGATGGCCACTGCAGGGAATGCTGCACTGCCCAATGGCACCATGGGAATGCTACAACCGATGCCTATTGGAGGTATGACCAATGGTTGCTTATTTATTTATTTTGCAGTTGACAGGCCTCTAGTTAGGTTTTCTTAGGCTGATTTTTTTAGTTTACAGCCACTATTTTCCCTATTTAATCTGTCGGTATTCAAAAAAGCTCCATTTTATACAAAGCAAATGCAACACAAACTCCTTGATTTAAGATAAAAAAAACAAATGAAGAAAACAAGGATGTAAACGAATGTTTTTTTTTTTTTAAAAGGTCTGAGAAAACTGTTATATTTATGCCTAAAATTATTCAGAAACCAATCAAAATTAGGTAGTGAATGTGTGGAGGGAGCTGCAGATTAGGGTGATGGGAAGGAGGCATTCTGGCTTAAAGGTATTGAAGCTCTTCACCGAAGAGGAATGATTGAAACATGCTTCTTACAAATTATATAAGGGCTTGATGGCTGTAACCTTAGTAAGTAACTTCCTAATGGTTATTAAAGAGGGAATAAATATTTTTCATGTGATACAATTTTAAAAACTGTTAACAAAAAAAATGATTCGAGCAGCTGCCTTATCCCAGTTCTACCACAAGTCTTCCTTTTCTCTCTTTAAAATGGTGTCTGTTTTAATACCAGCTACCACTGTTTGCTTAAAATGATCTTAGGAATGCATTTAATGATTTGATGTGGTTATTTTTTTTAGGCTTATCTTATAGTAGTTCTTCATACGCCTCTCCAGGTGGACTTTCCTCTTCCCTGCTGGACCTGGGATCTGGCAGGTAACACGCACACAAATACTCCAATGAAGAGATTATTTCTGTTCTTTAGTTTCTTTTTGTTTTATGTTAAAACATGAATATTTTTCAGCTCTACCCCCTCTGGGATGTCCCCCATGGCCACTGTCCCCAGTGACTGGGCGGTGCCGCACCCCTCCAGACTGAAATACAGGCAGCAGTTCAACATGTTGGATAAACAGATGGTTGGATACCTAACAGGTGAGCTGTGCTTTTTTGTCTGTGTGGGGAGAGTGGTTTGGAACTCCATGTTAAGTTATACCACCCCTCTATTTATCCCCTCTGTGGGAAGCTGTGGGTGTGTTCAAACAAAAGGGGAGATTTGTCAGTGTAAAAACAGTCATGTATGCATTTTTCTTCCCTGTAGAAAGGTGTGGTCAAACCTGTTCTCCTTGAAATAAAGGTTTTGGTAAATGACAAAAGCACATGTGAACACATGCTTACATCCTCCCTCTTTTCATCAGGCCAGATTTGTTTGTTTACTCAAAATCCAAATAAATGCTGTCGGGATGCATAACACAAGTTTCATATGCAGGGTTTTTGCATCACTACCCAAAGCTGTGCCGTCTGGGGTCAGAGTGTTTTGTCCTTCTAAAATGCCCCTCATAAGGAGCTCTAAAGGGGCTGCAGTGATATATGGTGCTATGACCCCAATAAACAGAGGCTTACCGCTCTAGATTTCAAGCATATGCATTCTTCATCATCATTCTAACTGTGCTGCATAAACAACTCTGACATGGTTCTTTCATGTTTCCAGGTCAGCAGGTGAGAAACGCCATGGCAACTACCATGCTGACGCAGACACAGCTGGCCTCCATCTGGTGAGAATATCTCCAAACACACCAGGGTTTGTCTTTAATAACCTTGGTCAGCTTTCTCTAACTGAGTTTTTTGTGTTTCATGAAGTAGATTCTGTTAAAAATATTAACACTTTTTAGTTCATATCCAAGGCTGCACAAAAAATGGAGATAAAAAAAGAGAGAGCTGCTGTTGAAATAAAATTAGGATTTCAGTTTCCCCCAAGAAAGGGGCAAAAAACAAGTGGAAGACTCTGATCTGATGAGGACAAACAAAAACTCTTTGCCTACATTCAGAACCTGGAGATTCAACTTTCACACTGTATCAATCTGTAAAGGCTCAAGTTTTCTTTGAATTGATTGGGAAAATCACCAGTTGACACCCCCCTCCCATTTCCAGTTGCAGCAGCAGTAGCAGCTGTTGCATGTTACATGCTTGATTTGTTTCACAACTATCTTAGTACCTGATTAATCAAAATCTTGCCAAATCTGGTCAGGAGGAAAGTGCACACATCTTTCCCATCCACAAGGAGAAGATTGCGTCATTTTGTGCATTTTTCAAAAAGAAAATGGAGACTATTTCAGCTAAAACAGACTGAATAGCAGAGTCTACAGATTCATATCTACCGAACGTCGTGTTTGTTTTGCTTCAACTACTTGTGGTTGACATGCATGCAACTGTATTTTATTGGTGCCAAACTTTTATGTATTCAAGGATAATATATCTATTGGCTTTGGGCATGACTTTTTTAAGGCTGTTTGTGAAGCAACAACTCTCACAACTATTCATCTTGTGAAAAATCCAATTAAACTGTTTATGGAAAGCAGACAAACACTTAGGATCCAAGAGGTTCTAAATTGTCTCGATACGTTATAGATTTTACATGTTGGGATGACTAAATAATAGCTGTATTTCCTTTTTAGCAAAGTACAAAAGGACATAATGAATGAGAAAGATGATGTACCAACAATGATTACAGATGTGCAAGAGCTTCTTATCATGCAACATATTGTTGTGGGGAAAAAAGTATTGAGCTATTCACTCCAGTTAAATAAATGGAGGTCGATGGATTTCACTCAGTTGGCATTTTATTAAATCTTACAAGACATCATACAGTGCTTATTGCATGGTAATCAGCACTTTCTGATCTGGCCAGCATTTGTTACCCCTTACTTACAATAATTGATAGTAGTACACTTTGGTTAAACAGTAACATGTTATGAATAAACCAGGATAATTTTCACGTCAAGTCATGTAAAAAAACAACTTTACAATTTGTCGCCCCTGTAGGACTCTATCCGATGTGAATAAGGATGGTAAGCTAAACGCCGAGGAGTTTATTCTGGCCATGCATCTTGTTGACATGGCAAAGAGCGGACAAACAATGCCACTGACCCTGCCACCTGAGTTGGTACCACCCTCACAGAGGTATGCTGGACACACACTCTTTGGGTGAATCCATTCATTCTGTTATAACAGTGACTGTGGTTCTATCACAGGATGTTGTTTTTTTTTGGCTGCATAATAACCTTTTAACTCTGTATTACAGGAGTGCGATGAATGGCTCCAGCTCCAACCTCTATACAGCTCTGATAGACAACATCGACACAGAACCTCCACAGAAACCCAAAAATAACTGTCAGTGCTGTCAGCAGGATTGAAAAATACATGAATAAAAGAGCACATTTTTAGAGAAAATGTTCTATTGCTATTTCCAGTGTCATTTGAGGATAAGTTCAAAGCCAACTTGGAGCAAGGGAACGCTGAGCTGGAGAAAAGACGTCAGGCTCTGCTGGAGGCGGAGAGGAGGGAGCAGGAGCGCCGTGCTCAGAAAGAACGGGAGGAGCGAGAGAGGAGGGAGAAGGAGGCCCGCGAGGCTGAGGAGAGGAGGAGAAAGGAAGAGGAGTTGAGGCTGGAGAGACAGAGGGAGCTGGAGAGACAGAGGGAGGAGGAGAGGCAGAGAGAGAGGGAGAGAAGAGAGGTGAGGTGTATTCAGAGCTGGGGGAGGCCTCACCCTGATGGATGGATATGAACCTCAGTGTTTGCCTCTGGTCATTCCAGGCAGCACAGCGGGAGCTCGAGCGACAGAAGAAGGAGGAATTGGAGAGGAGGAAACGAGGCGAGCTGGTGATAAAGAAGGAGCAGGAGCAGGACGAGATCATCAAGCTGAAGGCAAAGAAGAGGAGTCTGGAGATGGACCTGGAAGCTGTGGTGAGTGCTAAAGAGTTTACAGGGATTTGATCAGATGCCTGTAGACCTTTAAGCTCATCTGACCTTTTTGTGTTCAGGGTACCAAACACCGGCAGATTTCAGATCGACTCAGAGACATTCAGAACAATAAGAAGCTCAAGCGGACAGAGTTTGATCTTATTGAGCAAAAGAAAGAAGCACGGCAGCAGGATCTGAACATGCTGCAAAGACAGATTGAGGTCAGTTTATTCAAAACATCTTCCTGTTCATGTTTTAATGATTTGGAGGGTTTGGCAGTTTTGTTCATAACTGCTTATAAAATTAGATATATAATCTTCATTTTATCTATTTATCTGTATTTAATGATTTAATCTATTATGAAACTTAAATTGTGATTGTAACATCCAATATTTGATGTCTCAGGAATTTCAGAGGAAGTTATCCCAGCTGACACCTGAGAAGAAAAGACTGGCAGAAAAACTTCAAAATATGTCTCTAAATAGCCTACCTGGTAAGTACTGTGGACCGACCCCTTTACTGATAGGAACTCGGAGTTCAATACCAAGAAAGTTCATACTTGTTAAAACAGTTTCATGAATTTAGATTGGAAACTAAGCTGAACCAGGTTCAGTTTAGAAGAATCCGCGGGGGGGTTATTTTGGTCACTTTTCTGGTCACTTTTCTGGTCACTTTAGTTTATTCTTTGTCAGTATTTAATAACATAACTCAGGTCTCTTAAGTTATGTTTCTTTAAAACAATTCTGTTATGGTTAAAAAAGTTGGTTAAAAAAAAGATTTAATTGGAAGTCTGTGTTTGTGTTCTTTATTAAACTTAAATCATTTAGCAATATCATAAAATGTCCAGGCAGAGCTGCACATAAAATATTGTTTCAAATCTTTTCTATAATTATTGATATGGATCAATATGCATTTTTTTTTATCGATAAGCTTTTTTTTCTATATCGTCCAGCCCTAGATCACATACAAGTCGCACATATTTGGAAATGTGAGCGGCAAGGCAAAAAAAATCGTATTTCACAAAAAAATTGGAATTTAACATCAAGGCCTGCAGTGTGAACGTAGACTAATAGTATTGAACGTGCCACAAAACAAATTGTAGGCATTACATTTTTGTGCTTAAAAAGCTCTGTTATGTTTTAGTACAATGTGTCAAATGTTGTGTTTGTGATCTGCTTGTAGTTTCAACCGTATCAACCCTAAAAGTGGGGTTGACAGAGAAGAGGGCGGCATGTATGAAGCTGCAAGACAGACTAGAAGCTCTAGAGAAGGAAACCGCTGCGAAACTAGCCCAGATGGACCAGTGCAACAAAGACATGCAGGTGGGGATCAATAAAGAACTATCAGAGATGATTATAGCACCATGTTACTCAACCTGTTTAAAAAGCGGTGATGGCATCATGTAGAACACCAGCTCTGTAAGCTAACCTTTTCTCTGCTAATTTCTTTCTGATACTAGATGTTCAATTTCAAACATAAATCAGAAGATCCAGATTCAGGAGCAACCATTATTTCCACTCATCTGAAATGTTTTATTACTTAAAACATAATGGAAGCTGCCGTGCTGATACAGTTTGTTTATTAAGTGTCAAATCTTTAAGAATTCTGATTGGAAAATGCACTTTTTATTATCTATGGACATCTTTAATATAAAGAAAATATCTCAAACATTAAAGCGTGAAAGAAGATCAAATGTTAGTCTTCTGTACAGGTGTTTTCATAACCCTGAAGTTTAAAAACACTTTTATAAAATGTATTACCTGTTTTATTTTATATTAAAAAAGACCAAATTATTCAGAACACAATTAAATTAGCGTTTAATCATTTCCTAACAAGGATACACTAGGTGTTAAATTGAAAATTCAAACACAGTCAAAGCAACATTAAACACCGTTTTGACCTTAACAAATCCCCTTCCAAGTCCCTGTGCTGGTAATCGAAATGCTTATGAGATGATGAAGGGGTCTGTCGTCTCACCCGATTGTCTCTGTTTGGAAAACCAGTCTTGCATCTTTCTTTTGACCCTTACACAGTAGTTCAGTAGTCTCTCAGTTCTGTTCTCGTTACCACAATAAGAGTGGCTTTATAGATGCCTAATGTAAGGCCATTGACATCAATAGCCACGTACCCTTCTTTGGTCTACTTGTAGAGGTTTATGACTTTGTAGAGTCAGCAAAAAAACGTTTGTCCAGGGCGTGCTCCAGTGGTGCTGTGGTTAGCGCACATGACCAATGAATGCAGGCCATAGTCCTCGACGAGGGTTTCGAATCGGACCTGTGTTCCTTTTGCTGCATGTCTCTCCCCTTCTCATAACCCCTTTCCTGTCAGACTACTGTCCATAAATACGAGCCACTAGTGCCGTAACACCTCAACAAAAAAAGTTTATCCAGAGGGAAGAAAGAGAGAGAATATGAATCGGATCAGGGCGGAAATTCATCAAGAGTGAATTTGAGCAAAATCTTAGTACGAAACAAAGACCCCAAACTGATGCAGGCCTGGCAATGTTTTTTTCTGTTGTTGTTACTATTGTGACTTTAGAGTGATTTTTACTGTGTCACTGTAAAACATGGAGAGACACTAATTTAAATATAAAATATGTACACATCAAAGGGAAACATTTTTGGTACATTGACCAAGCAGCAAGTAGGTCCTGGGTTCAAACCAAGACTGCGTGTTTCTGTGGGAAAGTTGCATGTTCTCTCCATTGATGTGTGGATTTTTTTGTTCTGGGTACTCCTGCTTCCTCACAGAGTGTGTTTGTGCATTATTGCTTCCATCTGTGTTGTCCCACCTTCCTCAATGTCTACGAAAGACCGGCTCAAGCCTCTAGGCAACACTGCAAAGATGAGCTGTATAGACAGAAGGAGAAATTAATTAATCCTTGAACAGTGATAGTGAGTTTATTGATGCAATCAAAGGAGATGCTGTCCTGCTATCCGTACACCAGGGTCTCTTTACGATTTTGGATAATTTAATGTTTATGATGAATCAGATGTAGTTGGGCATTTATGTTCAAATCTTATCTTAAAGTTTTAAGAATTTGTAGAACATCTGGAGCTCTAGTTTAAGGATATCGCCCTGCTGGGAGGTGAGGAGTTTCAAACAGTTGTATCTTTAGACAGGTTTTCTTCCAGGGTCGTCTTATATTTAGCGCCAACTATCTTCCCATCAACTCTAAATGATATCTCTGCCCTTGCTAAAGAAATGCATCCCCATAGTATGATGCTGCCACCCTTGTGGGGCAGGGAGGGATGTAGAATGTTAGTGTTCCTACACACATAGCAGGCCAAAACATTACATTTAGGTCAAATGTCTCCAGATGTCCTCCACATGTTTGCCATGTCTCTAACATAGCTTCTGTATTACTTTAAATAGGAGTTTAAATTGTTTCTTTTACCATGTTTCGAGTTACCATAAGCTTCAGTTGGATGAGCGTTTAGGCGTTATAATAAAATGTATCATTTTCCTTCAATTTTTTTACCCCACAAAAAGTAAAAACGGTGCTCATCTACAAGCTGCTGTCGGTTCTTCAAGTCATAAGCTGTATATCCATGTATATAACTGTGTGTTTCTAATGTGCTTTAGGAACTGAGGGAAAGCCAGAGAAAGCAGCAGGCAGCCCTGGAGAATCTACGGAGCATTAAAGAGGAAAAGCAGCGTGAGTTGGTGAGAAGGAAGGAACAGGAAGAGGAGAGGAAGCGACAAGTGGAAGAGAGGCGGCGTAGAGAGGAGGAGGAAGCTCAAAGGTGCAGATTTTAACAATATGGTGAACGATAAACATTTAATACTTGACTTTTTTGTTTGGACTATATTTTATATTAATGCCAGGAATGTCTTCACAGGCGTATTAAACTGGAAAAGGAGCGTCAGTTGCAGGAGAAGCTGAGGAGAGAGGAAGAAGAACGTCAGCGAAGGCTTGAGGAAGAAAGGGAGGCCAAAAGGAGAGAGGAAGAGGAGAAGCAGAGACAGGCTCTCATCCAAGAAGCCAGGGAGCAGGCTGAGAGAGAGCTCAGAGCAAAGGAGGAGGCTGAAAGAAAGAGGAGAGAAGAGGAGGACAGGAAGAAAAGAGAGGAGGAGGAGCGTGTGAGGCAAATAGAGAGGCGCAGACAGGAGGAGGAGAGGAGAAAACTGGAGGAAGAGAGGAGGAAACTGGAGGAGGAGAGAAAGAAGCTTGAGGAGGAGAGGCGGCAAGAAGAAAGGAGGAGAAAAGAGGAGGAGGATAGGAGAAGGAAGGAAGAGGAGGACAGACGAAAGAAAGAGGAGGAGAAAAGGAGGTTGGAGGAGGAAAGAAAAGAGGAGGAGCGCAGGAAGGAGAGGGAGGAGGAGGAGAGAAGGAGACATCGAGCAGCCGAAGCAGCCCTCCGAGACGGCGAGGAGAGGAGGAGAAAGGAGGAGGAGGACAAGAGGAAGCGGGAGGAAGAGAGGAGAAAGGCAGAGGAGGAGAGGAAACGAAAGGAGGATGAAGAGAGAAGGAAACTGGAGCTGGAGGAGAAGAGGAAGAAGGAGGAGGCATCCCGTAAGCCACAGGCGAACGGAGGGAAGGTGGATATACAGGAGAAGCTGACGGCTCTGCTGAGAGGACTGGAGGAGAGAAAGGGTGAGTAGACGTCTCCTAAAACTCTTCTAATTAGTTGCTGGTTTTCTGCTGGACTCAAATCCATTGATGGATTCCCTGATCCTGATGTGCTGATTCAGGCGGACAGCCAAAGGCCACACAGCACAGGAAGTCTGCGTCCCTCACATCCTTTAAAGCACTTTATCCATTCACCGCACGAAACAATGAAGAACTCAGCTTCGAAGCTGATGACATCATTGAGGTAATTAGATTTTATCCACAGTGTTATTTTCTCTCTGAAGTCTGCCGTCTTCCTGCTGTGGACTTAAATCACTCTTTCCTCTGTCAGGTGGACGAGACAACGGAGCGAGAGGAGGGTTGGCTGTACGGCAGCAAACAGGGGAAGATGGGCTGGTTCCCAGAGAGCTATGTAGAAAAAGTCAGCCCCTCAGATACTACCAAACCCACTGTTGCAGCTCCGCCTAAAGTGTCCATCCAGGCTCAGCTGTCCAACGCGCTGGAAGCGGCCAAGACAACAGGGACCAAGTCTGCTTTCACTCCCACACAGTCTCCACACCCGGCTCCATCCGAGACTCACGGACGGGTAACCGCTCCTTCACCATGCTGTGGTTGTTGTCTGATCCTAAGGTGCTTTAATCCTTAATCATTCTTCTGTCTGTTTCTGTTTCAGCCTGTTGTGGGGAACCTGTTGGCTCAGGCGCTGTGTTCATGGACGGCAAAGACAGACAACCATCTGAACTTTGATAAGGACGATGTGATCCATGTGTTGGAGCAGCAGGAGAACTGGTGGCTGGGAGAGCTGAACGGTGAAAAGGGCTGGTTCCCTAAAACCTATGTAACTGTCCTGGGAGAAGAAGATGGATCAGAGTAAGTACTAATGCACAGGAAGTTTAGAATTTCCTCAAAGTTTATTTTCTTTCAGAAAAGTACTATGACTGTTGCATTCTTTCAATTAAGGCACTCCAGAAACAGAGTCGAGATCCGACACTTCCGCCTCAATGAGGGAGGAAAACCTTTAGATTGTTGGAAGAGTTTTTCTAATAAAAATATTTTTAGGATTCATTTGGAATTTAAGGTCCAAGAGTACAGAGAAGGGTTCAGCTTCATTCCTGTAGGTCTTTTCAGCAGGGAGACAATGTCTCACATCTTCCACAATCTTCCAAGTTCCTTAACAGAAACGATTGTCTAAAACTTTGATGCTCAGCTGTGTTTTTCTCAGTAGCTTAAAGGATAAGTCCGGTCAGCAGGAATGCTCAATGGATCACTATCTATACATAAAACTAATAAGTTTGCAGTGATTAAATGAATTTAGCATTAATCAGTAAAAAAAATAAATATAATTTTCATCGTCAGAAAAATGTTGGGCTGGATTTATTAGTGGATTGTTTTGCGACTAACAGTTTGTCTTTGTAGCTGGAGTATCTCTAGTTTTTTGAGCATGAGGGGTTCACAATGCTTTTTTTTTATTCTGTATTTTTTTTAATTAAAAAGATAAATATTATAAATGACCCACCATTTGGGTTGCAGCTAGAATACCTTGTTAATTCTTAATTTGAAAAGCAGATCAAATGTATTAAAATAAATTCTTTAATGAGTCCAACTTTGCATACAGCAGATCCAGGCACCTTGGATCAATAAGACCAGAAGACACAGACCTCTGTAAAATTATTTAGGAGAATCCAGTTAATGGCTGAGAAATGTTTTTGTTTTAATGTTACTTTAACCAGCTAATACTAAACCTACATTAAGACCAGAACCTGCTTTATGAAAACACCTTATTTCTTATAGTCTTACCGGTCATTCGATGCCACAGAGAGATAGATCCCTGTACAGATGCATGGATGGTTCACTTAGAGAGGAATTCATGGAACGCAGATTTCTTCCTCCAGTCATGCACTGTCGTCACCTTAAAAAGCAAAGTAAATAATAGCTGCTATATTCCTTACTTCATAAACGATCCGTACTTTTGTGTACAGAGATTTTTCTTTTTCTGCCACTATGGGTGTTCCCCTGAATTATTAGGTCAGTGTGTGGCTGGTTATCTGTTTTTCTTAGATGCACAGACCAATGATTAATTTAGACCTAGTAAAGGTCGATATACAGCAGGTTGTTTTTTCTTTCGTTATTTCTGTAAAAAACTGCTCCCTAAAAAATACAGCAATGTGTTGAAATGTATTTATATATTTTTTCTGTAAAGTAGCCCTTGAACATCTATGAAATGACTTTCAGAAATTCTCAACCTGTCGTTTATAAATTATTCTGTATTTCCTTTTTTGTTTTTTGGCGGAAATGTTGGATTAATGTTTAGGAAAGATTTTCTTACAGCTCTAAAATCATCTCCTGGCATAGCGGATAAATACTCCTTGATCCATGACCCCCCCCAGAAGTAGTGCATGTTTATGTTCTTTCCTCTTTGTACTTGATGTTCTGTGTATTATAAATCTGAGCTGGTTTTGGACATAACGTTTTGGTGAAACTGAATGCAGAGCTGTTGCTCTGGATTTACCTGTCAGTCCGGTGTCTGTTCCAAGCTTCACCTGTTTGCAGGCTTAACAAATACAATCCCAGCCTTAACTTTAGCTTGAGGAGATCTGACTGTGATACTCCAGCCATTCCACTTTAAGTTACTGTTTCCTTATAATCATAGCTGCAAACTGATTCAAATGATGATTCTGGTGGAATAATTTAGTTTTTCTTTGTTTTATAGAGTCAAGAGCTCTGCCTCTGATGTCACAGATTCTGTTGACAGCCTTCAGCTTGAAGGTACAGTGAAACAGACGTTTGTGTAAATTTAAACCATTATTTTTTGTTCAGATGATTTTTGTATGTTTTTTGCATACATTTCTAAGTTTGGCACACAGAAAGATGTTATTAGTACACATAGTTTAACTGATAACATCTGACTGCTCTGTCAGTAGAGTTGAGCTGTTTTTCTTTTGCTATTGCAGAGTATGTTGCGCTCTACACATATGAGTCTCCAGAGCCTGGTGATTTGACGTTCAAAGAGGGCGATGTGATCTTAGTGAGCAAGAGAGACGGAGAGTGGTGGCGGGGGTCAACGGGCGAACACACAGGCCTCTTCCCCAGCAACTATGTCAAACCTAAAGAGGCAGATGTAAGGACACTCCCTAAAGTTAGGCTCTAGTATTAATGACTGTAATTCTCCATGGGTTCAAGAAATTTGACTCAATATAGATCTTTATTTTTCTATCTATTGATTTTGTGGCATAGATTAAGTGTTAAGTGAAAAGTACTCTCATTAAAAAAAGATATACTGTGATTATGCTAAACTCTAAATGATGACTTTGCAAACTGTTTTATTTTCTTTTTTGGTTGTTTTTAAAACTTATTTTCCAGTTAGAGAAAATTATGCTGCCTCTGTGTCTCACAATATGGTTTCTGTCATTATCACGTAGCTTTTAGCAACACAAATTCATTTTGTTTTTTTTTGTTTTTTTTTACTATGACTACTTTTACTAATATCACAACTGGTTTCGAAACTAATGCAGTTTTAGAGCAGTTCCAGAAGATATAATTACTGTGTTTTTAAATCAATTGTTTGATTATTTCTTTGTTTAAAAATGTTTCTCCTTTCAGACATCAAGTGTATCTGGAAAGAAAAAACAAGGTAAGGGCTTTTATGTTTTCTTTTGAGACGGTGATCTTTGACCTTTGGTGTTTGTCTGTTTTTTTGTATTGTTTTTTTTCTGTGTTGGTTGAATGTTTTTGGAAGACCAGGTCTGTATTCACAAAGAATCCTTATCCCTCTCCTACACTGTATTATATTAACCTTTATTTTATGGCACATGATGGGCCGTGGAACTAATAATCTTCTGTAAGATGGGAAATTTGATGTGTGGACATTCTATGATCATCGTTTACTTAAAATTCACTGGAGATATTGAGTAACCTTATCAAATTTTTGTGCGAATAAACATATAACTCCAAAGGAAAGATTTTACAAAGTACTTTCAAATATCTCTGTAAAATAGCATCCCAAACTAGCATCATTCAACGCTTTTTAAAAAAAAGTCAGTTTCATGTCTCTAGTGGCACTGACCAGTGGCTGACGCTGATCTGGCATATTGACAGGGTTGGAAATTGTTTAAATTTGATTGATTCTGACTCTCTGTTTCAAATCTGGTTCCTATCGATTCTCCATTCCAGTTCTTTTAAGAAAGATCAAAAAGTTTGTTTTCAATGAGCGGTTTGGATAAAATGATCTGAGCTTCTCTATAAAATTGAAATACTTGAACATCCAACTTTGTGTAAATGTTACTTTAAGTTATTACCCAGTTAGTTGCAGCCAATATGTAATTGTGAAACCTATCAACTCTAATCTAAATTTTATGAATTTCTTTTCACATAGTTACATTTTCCCATGGAGTTTTATTGCTAAAAAACATTAAAACACATTCACAGAGACTGATGCTGCAGGTACGTATGTCGTATATGACATTTTTACGATTTTATTGATCTAATTCGGACTGTGGTGCAGTGCTAGTCTTTGTGTCTGAGCTGGAGGAAAAAGCAGTGCAGCAGGAAGGCATCCTGACTGATGCTTCCTGCTGTTGCTCAACTCCACTCAATAGACGTAGAAGTAGGGATGTTTTACTTTTATGGACGGATGAATAATCGATTTGTATTACGTCATTAAGTTTTTGGGTGTTATCATATGAAATTTTTTTTTTTGAAGATTCAAAGTTAGAACAGGTTCTAATGTCATATCCATTTTCAGTGCCCAACTCTACATATGCCAGATAATTTTAATCAATCTAATTTTATTTATTTCAAAGTGTGAGACTAGGAGTAAACCATTGTGAGGAAAGCATTGTTAAAACTTCTTTTAAAGGATATATAGTGCAAATATGTACTAACTTTATAACTCACATTTCTGTTTCTATTGCCTTTCTCTGCTCGTTGTTTTTCTTCACTTTACCGTCTTCTGTTCTTCAGACACAAAAGATTTATTTTTGTGTGAAAAGTCCTCATTCTGAATGGAGCAGTGCATGCTGAGTTGCAATGAAAGCTTATGGAGCCGATGCAGGGTCCTTTCCTATTTCCATAACCTTCATCTAAAACTTTTTACTCAACAAAAACACAATCTGCAAACTTGGCAAAAAAAAAAAAACAATACAAAGAATTTTAGATGATAATGAAGGATGTTTGTTCATTTTAATCCCTTGAAATATTTCATGATCATAATATATACTAAACCACTAAATTCACTCTAATTTTTAACAAGTTACTTCAGTATGATAATCCCTTCAATGGGTTTGTTCTTTTGTTTTGTTTTTTAAATTATTTTTGCATTAGTAGTCATGGTCAAATGTGACTGTAGTAGAACATGTCAAATGGCTTTAGGATTTGTCACAGATGGAAGGTTTAGCAGCATGGCAATGGCAGCCTTGAGATAATCATTTACTGTTTTACTTTCATCACAATAAAATAAATAGGTATGACCTCTTTAAATTCATATTTATTAAAACCAAAACCCTTTGCTTTTAATATACAGTATGAAAAGTGTACATTTACTCCATTTGTGTCTGTTGCAGAGTTACCTCACATGGGGTACCATTATGTGTTAAACAAATCTTGATGCTAATGTTGTCTCATTGCTTTTAACATATTGCCTTTTTGTTGACTGAAATATGATCAAGACTTTTGTTGCATTAAAGTTCTAATTTTGTGTTTGCAGAGATTGCTCAGGTGATCAAAGCCCACACCTCTGCTGGTCCAGAGCAGCTTAGTTTGGAAACCGGTCAGCTTATCCTCATTTTCAGCAAAAATCCTTCAGGCTGGTGGCTCGGAGAACTTCAGGTTTGTACTATAATCATTCATTTTTCTAAACCTTCCTCAACATCAGTCACAGTGTTCTCACCTCAGCTTTGCTACTATTAAAATGGTCTGAAGTATATTTGTTTATTTGATATAATGTGATACATGATCTATCTGTTTGGTTTATACAATTAACCCCCTCCTCCCCTCCCCTTTTTTTTCCTCAGGCACGCGGCAAGAGACGCCAGAAAGGCTGGTTCCCTGCCTCTAATGTTAAAATATTGGGATCGAACAGCGGCAAATCTACTCCAGCCCAACAGACTGGTAGGAAACAGCAGCTCTGGGTGCAATGTAGGGATTATATTAACAAGGATTATAATAACACATGCTCTTTTGTTCGTTCAGTGTGTCAAGTGATCGCCATATACGACTACGTAGCCGCCAACCAGGACGAGCTGAGCTTCTCTAAAGGGCAACTGATCAATGTTTTAGACAAGAGCAACCCTGACTGGTGGAAGGGTGAAGTTAATGGGGTCACTGGTCTGTTCCCCTTCAATTACGTCCAGATGACGACGGATGGTGAACCCAGCCACAAGTGTGAGTAAAACTTAAATCTTGGCTAAAGAAATAAAAACAATCATGCTTGTTTTGAAACAGAGGTTCTTCTATATTTCTTCGGATCCCCCAACACTGCTGATTTATCAAACCCTACATGGAATCACTAATCATTCCTGATCAAAAACTGTCCATTCGATTTTCCTTTCTTCTCATTGACCATTCCATTGTTTTCCTCTTATTTCCTCCTTCCTTTCTACCTTCTATACCTCCTTCCCTCTTTCTGTCTTTATCCTTTCAGGGTGGTAGAAAGACTCTTCCTCCTCCACCTCTGCTCCTCCTTCAGGCCACAGAGACCCACTATCTCACTCTGTTGCTTTGATGGGGCGGGAATCTGGACTTTTTGACTTCTAATTTAACCGACTTCAAATTAACCATATAAGGAGAAACCAGAAAGAGCAGAAATGTCTTTCTTTATATAAAAAAGTGGGTCTTTGGCTGATTTTTGGCTCACTGTGTTGATTCTCTGGGTTGTTGAAATCTCTGTGCCTTTGATTTTTGCAGCTGTTTTTGTTTTATTTGCACCGGTGTGGCTAAATCTAGGGAAAGGTGTGTTAAATAGAGCGATAGTGGGTTTCTCTGTCGCTTGTCTTCGTTCCTTTCTTTTCATTTGTCTTGTTTCATCCAAATGCGGTCTTACCTTGTGATGTTTGACATCTTGGAACAATTAAAAAATATAAAACAATTGAGAAGAAAGAGAGGGAATAGTTTAACTAATGGGTTAGCCATAGATTGTACGTAAAAGATGGACATAGCCTTCTTGCCCCTTTGTTGTTCATTAGAAGGGATGCAGAAGACTGCATTCTCTTCTTTTGCCAGCAGGTGGCGTTTTATGTGTGAAGACTGAGGGAAGGTTGTCTGACAGCCCTTGGCCTTCTCACACAGCTTTAGCTCCAAGGTAAAATTAAGTAGACACCTGATGGAGCCACAGCCTCCATATTTGGTTATTTTCACCCAGGTAACGCATGCAGCCCATCATTGTATTTTCAAAATGGAATACTTTTCAACACATTTTTTGCCCTGTACATCCACATAATTCAGTGGTTACTGTTTGTTGTGATTTGATGTGAAGTTAAAAAGTTAGGCTTAAATGTGAGTTGAGCTTCTTTCATTCCAATACCACTTAGATAGAAGTCATCTATTCAAATCCAGCCATTCCCCTAAGGCCTCAGAGGTTTATTAGGGAATAAATGGCATCATGAAGATAAAAAGGACCCGGCAGACAGGGTGGGGAGAAGTTGTGAAGTCTAAAGCATAGCATAATTATTAAACTCCAACCCAACCTTTAAACGGACCCTAATTATACCTAAAATATCATGCCCTAAACTGAGAAAAAGGGAAAGAAGATCATTCCTCAGACAGCCAAGAATCTCATTGCAGCTCTGGAGTAGGGCTGCAGCTATGGATTATTTATTATTAATTCATCTAACAATTTACATATTTTCATTAATTTAAAGATATATTGTTAGTAAAAAAATTAGGGCTGAAACAATCGGATTAATCAATAATTGAAATAATTGTCAACTAATTTAGTAATCGATTAGTCGTTAACTGGAGTGTAGAGACACTAAAAAGTTGCCAGAGCAACCTACTTATTGTAAAAAAAATATATATATATATAAATAAACTATTTATAAAAAAATAGAAACAAATTTTGCATTTAAGATAAAAAAGGATTTTTCGTCTGTCAATATGCTCTATCCAGAACTCCTCAAGTGAAAAATTTTTAGTTTCATCTGGTTTGATTTTGTAAATCTTCTTTAAGGAACCTTTGGCTATCCAATTATTAATCGATTAATCAAACAATCGACAGATTAATCGATTTGCATAATGATTACCTTCATAACAAAGAGTTTGAGCTTAAAAAAAAACAAAAAAAACAAAACAATATTTGTTGCTAATTTTAAAAGCATCAAAAATTCTAAAACATAAAAAACTAAATGTTATGCTCAGAATGTGCTACTTTATCAGTAATTTAGCATATTTACAGAGGAAAAAAATGTCATCTGATATGCCAAAATATGTATAAATTGCTGCCAGTTAATTGTTCATGTCAGTCATCAATGAATCTGATTGTTCCGCCGTACTGTGGTCATGCTGCATGTGGCCATGGCACAGGTGAAAGAAAATCTATTAACAGCACAATATTTAGTTGTGTGTGTTTTGTGTACACAAAAGCTTCATGCAAAAGGACAGGGAAGCTGGTCAGAGTTATATACTGATCAGTCCTAAAGGAAAACTAGTCACATGTTGCAAAATACATGAGCCCAGGATGAAGTATAAGACACACTGAGCCAGAACAACAGGACAGCAATGGTCCAGATCAAAGCAGACCTAAATCCAGCATAATTGCTGTTTAAAAACTCAGCATTTCCATTTAATCTTGGTGAGTCTGGGCTGCTTCTGAAAGAATGGGCAGGTTGGTTTTTATACATAACCAAACATGTACCATTCTTTTTCAACTTGACAATTATGCACTAAATTGTGTCTCATAGTTTCCCAGTGAAATACCCTGAATTATGTGGATGTAATGGGACATGATGTGAAAATGTTCTCTGGCCTGTAAACACTAATGCAAGGCACTGTAATAAAACTTCACAGAATCCCAAACGGCGTCTCTGATTAGAGGTTTGTTTTCCGCTGTCTTGGCTCTCTTACAGACAAGCGTTGATGCCGCTCTGTGACATCTCCTGGTTCAGAGGGACACTCTGATCCCCCCCTCGTTCTCCTCCGTACCTTACTAACAAGACGGCAAAAAGCAACAAAGGCTCTTCAGTCCCACCTTGAACAGACTGTGTGAAAAGGCCAGTCAGAAAAGGACATTTCTTCTTCCTCAGATCTTTGTAACTCACTAATTTCAAGTGTAGGATTTCAGTATTCTTTAACTCTTATTTTATGGTTCTCTTTTAGCAAGCGATGAACAAATAAAGATTAAAACTAACAATAATGTAGAGGGGACTTTTTGCAGACCAAAGTCAGTCTCTGCACCATTTGTGCATGAGATTGCAGAGGTTTAAAAACAAATCGGTACTCAGGGAAAGGAATGCTGTTGTGGCTGCGTCCATCTTTTATTTACTATTTGGCTTTAAGATGAGTTTTCTGTCTTTGGTTTCTAATGTAAGTTTTGAGTGTTACTGTAACTATTGTGTGTTGATTTAATGCCAGTGAGGGTCACAGATCATTTTAATACATTTAAAAGCCATAGCTGGTATTGGTGTTGTTTTTGAAAATGTTTTTGTTTAATCAGGAGATCTTCCTCTTCAGATGATGAAATAATCCTTCAGTGGTGAAAGTTTAATTTCTGATGCACCTTATGTTATTATTTCCTGCTGCTCTACATTATTTTATCTTTTAGATATATGGATTCAAAATGCCAGAAGAAAGTAGTCATTATAAGGCTTTATAAATTTCAAACGGTATAAAATTTTTTATACCTGACCTGAAATGGCAGGTTCTTGTGATGGAGAATTAAAGTGAGACCAAGATGTAAAGATTCAGGTCCTTTTTCATGACATGACATTTTTTCCATATATAAAAAAGCAATGATTTTAAGAAAGCTGGTTGTTAAAACTGGTCAGGGATGCTGTAAAGACTGAAGGAGGAGCAACAGTTAGTTAGCTCCTGGCTAGTTCCTGTTCTATGTTTGACCAGTTCCCATTAATCCCCGTTTGTTTGTCCAAGGTTTAAAGATGAGACATGCCCTTAGGTTACTTTTCTTCAGTGACTTGGGTTGTCTGCACAGATAGATAAAGTTATGACCAGACCTAAATCTAAGCCACCGTTTGAGTACCTATTTTTCAGCTATGATGTAGAGGAGTTTAAATGTTCTGTCATTCAGTCCAAAAACACATTAAGATCAACTCCAGACGGATGGTGTGGATAAAGATTTTAAAGGATCGATCATGGTCTCCTTTTATTAGAACACAAAAATCTGCCATTTTAAGTTAAGAGTTTTTCTGACTGAATTGTGTCTGACAGATCATCAGTTATAAAATGCAGAGTGTCTTTGGATACAAACAAGTTGCTGCATTTCTACTTTCTTTTTTTTTGTGGAACTTGGGAGAACGTATTGAAATAAAGCTGCTGAATGTGTCATAAAAACAAAGCTTTTAACAGAACAAAAATAGGTTATTGTGTGACTTTTTCTATTCGGTACAGGGTGTTGTAACTATTTCTGCAGATCTGCTTAATCCAGTATATTCTTTTCTGATTATAAATAAAGTATTAAAAAAAACCATTTAGTTAAATACTTTTCTTCTTATTGTATCTTATGTGAGCTTTTCTGTGTGTTTGCCTTTATTCTCTGTAGTATTTAAATGTTTTTTCCCCTTTTACTTGATTATTTTTATCAGTCGTTTACAGGATTTTTTCCCCTTTGATTTAAAAGGTTTTTTTTATATTTCAGGAAAGATTTTTAAGAAATGTATTTTCTTTCCCCCAAGATTTCTTTTCAAGAGAAGGAAAAATATTTTTAGCTTGTATCCCCTACAAACAGACCTGAGAGATTATGGAGAAAGGTGGGACCTCTCTTCCTGTTTTTGGAAAAACAGATTTCAGAGCTACGAGGGGATTAGAGCATAAGGGGCAAATGAGCTGAGACAGGCAGGAGACAAACTGAGAGAAACCTATAAAAACCTAACGAGGAAGAAAAATGGCTTCACAGAGCAGATTTCAGTTTTTAAGGCTTTGGGATGAAACGGACGATGAGGTTAGTGTGGGAGAAGAAAGCAGTAGATATGTTAGTGATGAGCAGTCACTTTGTTTGGGTTTCTCAGAATGGCCAAATGGTCTAATACATGGTAAGTGTTAATTTACTGATTAAAATCCTTCTTTTCCTTTGTCAACTTTTTAGAAACAAGCTCAGGTTTTTGCTTCCATAATGACTCTATCCTAAAGTGCTGCAGAGGTTTAAGTTTGTTGTTGAAATGTTAAGATTGTTGTTCCCGTCCTGCAGGGTGTTCGGACCCCACTAGCCTGAACTCCTTAACCCCCCAGGAGAAGAAGAGACAAGGTTACATCCATGAGCTGATAGAGACAGAGGAGCGATATGTGGAAGACCTGCAGGTGGTTTTGGAGGTAAAAACAAAAATCCTACAAATGATTTAAAAATATGGGATAAAACATTTAACTTGCTGTTAAGTTTTTTTTTTTTTTTTGTTTTTTGCTGAAATCTATATTCAATTTCTAAACATTAATCTTATTACTGTGTCTAGGTTTTCTACAAGCCAATGTCTGAGTCACGGCGGCTGAATGATTCGGAGATGTCCATGATCTTTGTCAACTGGAGGGAACTTCTGGCTTGCAACAGTAAACTTGTGAAGTAAGTATTTGCTGGATGTAGTCAGCAGATATGAAACGTCTAACGATAACTGAGAGTGGAGTTCCCTGAAGCAATGCTTCCTATAACCAGCTGCTGCTTTTCCTGCTGCAGGTTTCTTAGGTTTGTCTCTACCAATGTTGCTCATCTACAGCCTGGAATTGTCCATTTCTCTTCGTAAAACAGCACAAGCCACTTCTGATTAGATTGAGACCTTCTGAACATCAAGTTCAAGTCTTCTTTGCATTTTGACTTGGCCATTATGATCAATGAACATTAAATTAAACAGCCTCAGACCGGTAATCTCACTGACCAGCTTTCCTGTCTCTGCTTGAAGACCACAGGCCTTCACAGTACTACCAACCCTGTGTTTCAGAGTGAACGTTTCCTTTACATAGCATTTCCATTTATGCCTATTAATTACTTTGCGTCTCACCAGATCAGAACACCTTCTCCTACAAGGTGTTACCTATGAGGCTTTTAGCAAGTCTAACTGAAATGTTTTTCCTCTACAATGACTGTTTTTGCCACCCTTCCATAAAGGTCTAATTTGTTCTTTTTCCATTTTTGGATTAAGGACTGAACAGATTGAAGATGTCTTCTTCTCGGGATATTGTTTTTGACTAAACTCTTATATAAACATTTCACAATCTTATCCCTGACCTGTCTTATTAAGTAAAAAAAGACCTCAAAGTATTTGCTGTTTGAAAAAAACAACAACAACAGGAGGCTAAGTGAATAAACTGATGGAGCAGACATACCTTGTGCAGAGGCTATAGTTGTTCTGGGTTTAAGTCCCAGTTTTCAGTCATTTGCAGCCTCTCTTCTCTCTCCACACTCTTTCATTTCAAGCATCTTTTCAATAAAAGTCACAAGTGTGCTAAAGGTATATATATAAAAGATATATATAATATATTCTATTGCAAAAAAGCCAAATATAAGTCCAATGAGTATTAGGGGTGGGTATTGCCAAAGGAGCCACGATGCGATTCTATCACGATGCATCACGATACTTGAATTATTGCGATGCATTGCAATATTTTCTCCTCCATGTTTTGTTTTTGAATGACTCGGCCAGTAGAAATGCTTGTGACACAAGGCAGTGTGCATCAACACATCCGCAGCGACATCTACTGGACTGGAAGTTGTATTACACTTGTTTTTGGCTGATGTTCGACAACCATTCATGCAATTTTATTTACTCATTTTTTTAAATTAATACTCGATGCAGTAGATCATGAAAATTAGAATCACGATGCATCATCATGACGATTATTTTGCACACCCCTAATGAGTATGGACATTAAGTTTGCTATATAAGGACATCTGAAAAACTATAAATCAGACCATGTGAACTAAGTACTTTATGATAAAAATGATAATGTGTCATATATTTAGGGCTCTCCAAGGTCGGAAGAAAGCTAGTGGAGACAACATGCCAGTGCAGAGGATTGGAGACATCCTGGCCTCAGAGCTGTCCCACATGCAGCCCTACATCAGCTTCTGCTCTTGCCAGTTCAACGGTGCCGCGCTGCTCCAGACCCGCACTGACAATGAGCCCGATTTCAAAGCGTTCCTCAAGGTAGGCGGGAGTGGGAAGGGAAAAAAATCAGGAAAGACAGGAGGAGGTAAGGAAATGATAAGTGGTGATGGAGCAACCTTTTCAGAGAGGAATTAATGTTTTAGAAATGTTTGCTTTGTGGTGTCCACCAGTGCTAACATTGGGATGAGTGGTATCACTTTTTTAATCTGATAGATGGTTTTGCTGTAAGTTGGAGCAATGTCAGCTAACACCCCCCTTTATTTTGATTAGAAAATTGCAACAGACTACAGATGTAAAGGCATGCCATTGTCCAGCTTCCTGCTGAAGCCCATGCAGAGGATCACACGCTACCCACTGCACATTAAAAACGTAGGTCATCAGGTTTATTACCTCACAGTCTGACTGTGTGATCCATTATTAAAAATGCTTTCCATTTGGTTTTATTCTCCATTTGTGTGTGTTTAGATCCTGGAGTGCACAGCAGAGGGCCATCCTGACAGAGGACCACTGAAAGAGGCTCTTGAGAAGGCTGAGGAGCTCTGTCAACAGGTTCCTGAGCTAATTATGTCCTCATTACCAAGCTTTAACTTTGTCTTCTTGGTTCAGTGTTTAATTTAATGCCGACGAATGTTTGTGTGCAGGTCAACGAAGGTGTGAGGGAGAAGGAGAACTCTGAAAGACTTGAGTGGATTCAGAACCATGTACAGTGTGACGGAGCTGTTGAGGTATCTAAAGTCAAACTTATATACACTAGTGGCATCTAATACAATAAAGAAATAATTGAACGCATCAATTTTCACAGAATTTACGCTTTGACTCTTTGACAAACTGTTTGGGCCCCAGAAAACTGCTGCACAGTGGTAAGGTGAGTAACGCCCTATCTTTGTTTACTGAAGGAGTGATTTAAGCAGGTAAGGAGGAATATTTTTTTTTATTAACAAGGTGGCACATAATCGTCTGCTGTCTTTTGTTTTTAACGCAAAAAGCAGCTTTTGATAGTTTGAGCAAACATCTCTTTAGAGCATGGACTCCAGAGTTGATGGGGCGTTTTACTCCCAATTCCAACACAATGGATTATTAACTGACTAAAATCAGTTTAAGAAGAAACATCAAACCTGTTTTAATTAGTCTTATAGTATCTCTATCTAAATCATCCAGGGCTGTCTGGTTCAGCAGCATTGGGCCAAAAACGTTACGGTGTTTCAATGTATAGTAGTGTGTGTCGAAAACTCTTGGAATCTGAAGGTTGTCCAAACTTTTGATTATTTTCATGACCATGAAAATTGAAGATTCACACTTAAAGCTGAAGTCTGTAAGTTTTTAAAAAATCACTTTTTTGTCATATTGGCTAAAACTGTCCCTATGCCGAGACAGCAGTACATGTGATATGTAACCTGTGAAAAAAACTGCTTCAATTGGTCCCGCCTACTGCCTGTATTTCAATCTGGAAAGAATAATTCGGGACGAGTGAAAACAACCAATCACAGCCAGAGGAGCGTCTGATGGAGTGTCAATCACAGCTCACACACGCTGAATTTCATTCCATTTTCTTCCACTTATCCGGGGCCGGGTCTCAGAGGCAGCAGTCTAAGCAAAGATGCCCAGACTTCCCGATCCCCACACATTTCCTCTAGCTGCTCTTGGGGGGACCCCGAGTCGACACCAGGCCAGCTCAGAGACATAGTCCCTCCAGCGTGTCCTGGGCCTTCCACGAGGCCTCCTCCCCATGGGACATGCAGGGTGGTCCCCAGCCACCCTGCGAAGGAAACTGATTTTGGTTGCTTCTATTCGTGATCTCTTCCTTTAAGTCATTACCCATATCTCATGACCATAGGTGAGGGTGGGAACGTGGATCGATCGGTAAATCCAGAACTTTGCCCCCTCGACTCAGCTCCCTCTTCACTACGACTGCCGACGCTGCACGATCCGTCTGTCGTTCTCAAACTCCATTTATCCCTCATTCGTAAACAAGACCCCGAGATACTTGAACTCCTCCACTTAAGACAAATTGTCTTGAATATACTTTTCTCAAGTATATTCATTATTTGTTTTAATCACTTCCTGTTTTTGTTGCAGATGTACAAGGCAAAAAGCAGCAAGGAGCTCTGGGCCTTCCTTTTCAACGACTTTCTGCTTTTAACTCATGCGGCCAAGCAGTTCACCTCTTCAGGGCTTGACAAACTGTTCAGCAAGAGGAACAATGTCCAGCTCAAGATATACAAACCAGTAAGAAACCTGTACAGAAATGACCTTTGTAACTACAACATCCAAAAATATTAGGAAAGACTATATCAAGTCCCCTAAGGAAGTTTCGGATGTTTCTTCTTCATGTGACGTCTCGTTTTTAGCCAGTTCAAATAAGCACACCTTAGAAATACTGTTTCTATTGTCACCCAGTGAGTGTCTAAGATGTCTGCTGTTATGTAAATACACGAGATAAATACTATCGTGTTATAAAGTCTGTTTTCAGCTTTACTCTAATTGATGGTCCAGGCCAGTGTTAGCTTAGCAGTTTATGTGTGATTCTGCGTTTTAATGCCACAGCTATGGGTGATCAGGCAAACAAAGAACTGCATACAGAGAGGAAAAGAGAGGAGCTTTTTCCTAAATTTAAAATAAATAATTTAAAAGGAAGATAAAAAGAAATTGGAATGATTAAACTAAGGTGTGGTTTGAAACTCCTGTGTTGACTGAATATATGGCGGTGCCTTATGAGGGTGCAGGAAGGTACTCTTACAATTATATTCCGTTTTTTTTTTTTTATGTTGAGCAGTCATCTTCCACAGCACAGATACATTTATTATTATTATCATTATTATTAATTTGTAACGATAATGTGTGAATTTCTATTTATTTTCATGTTGTGTTTGCATGCTTTATGTATGACAGTCATCTTCTGTTTCCCATAGCCTGTGCTGCTGAATGAAGTTTTGGTGAAGCTTCCAGATCCATCCAGCGATGAGCCCATCTTCCACATCTCCCACATTGACAAAGTTTACGTACTCAGGACAGACAACATAAACGAACGGTAGCTGCAGACGAAACAAGCATTCCTCATGCAGAAATTCAGCAGTTTTACTAAATCTCTCTGCTTTCCATTCATCAGGACGTCTTGGGTTCAGAAGATAAAGGTGGCTTCTGAGGAGTTTATTGAGACTGAAAAGAAAAAAAGAGAAAAGGTTTATCAAGGTTGGTCTGTTGCAGCATTCATGTTTTTCTGTGTAGTTCTCTGTAGATCCTTCCTAAATGTTTAATCCGTGTTGGCAGGTCGCTCTATAAAGGCCACTGGAATCGGAAGATTACTCGTAACAATCTTAGAAGCCACTGAACTCAAGGCAACAAAACCAAACGGTGAGTCTAAACATGTAAATGTTTTTTTTTTTTCCTCATCTCTGCCTGCTCCTGCAACATGCCACCCCCCACCCCACCTAACCCCACTCCCTACTCAGACCTTTCATATTTCTCTTCTCCAGGTAAAATTAATCCGTACTGCGAGGTGACCATGGGCCCTCAGACCTTCACCTCAAGGACGCTCAACGACACCATCAACCCCAAATGGAGCTTCAACTGTCAGTTTCACATCAAAGATGTCTACCAAGATGTCCTCTGCATCACCATCTTTGAAAGAGACCAGTTTGCTCCAGATGGTGAGCTGCTTTAAATGAGAGTTGTGGCTGCACATTGATCAGAACAACAGCCAAGGGACCAATGGTTACTTTAAGCCAGGCTTACACTGTGTGATATATATTCTTTTTTTTCACTTTTTGGGCCGACTTTACAGTCATGCAAGAATTTTTTGATCAGCCAATCTTTCAGCCTGATCGTGCGTCTGTCGTGTACAGGGGGTAACAAGGGGGTATCAGCCTCTCACGACCACCTCCCCTTCAGGAATCATGAGGTCGGGAGAAAATCAGTCGCCTGTCACGGGCAAATCGCTCTGTGGGAATGTGCAAACAAGGATTCCTCTTCTTCCTCTCAGATGTAAACATAGAAGCATGGAGGGGGTGTGAATGAAATGGAGTTCTTTCTGTAAAATTGACACACCGTAGTAGCCACGTTTGCTCAACCATGTCTCAACTTTTTTAAATTTCAATTTTATCAAATTGCTCCATAAAATCCCATTAAAATTATGTTCTGTGAAAAGATTTAAGTGAGATTGAATGTGTTTTCTTTTTACCTTCAATGTTTCCTTATAAATCAGATAATTTTTCTCTCCTCAGCATTTCTCGGGAGAACGGAGGTTCCCGTGGCAACCATAAAGAAAGAGTTTGAAAATAAGGGACCCTTGACACGGCGTCTTCTACTGCATGAAGTTCCAACAGGGGAGGTGTGGGTCCGACTTGACCTGCAGCTCTTCAAATAGGAAGGTGACACAAGGAGCGGTGTCCTACAGTCAGTCCTGAATGGATGCGATTTACCAAAGAGGCAACTGAAAACCCCTGAAATGTGTTTATGTAGAATGCCTTGAGAAATGTTCTACTAACCTGAACTAATACCTCTACTGATGTATGGGATGCCCCCATCCTCTGGTTGGGATAAGGAGCTGCAATAAGAGTTTTTGTTTAGTTTTTTTTTATTAATAAGGAAAAGGTGAAGGCTTTCTAATCAGAGGAAACCTTTTTACTTTGTTGACTGTTGAAGGAGTAAAATTACATGTTTCTCTGTAATGTCTTACTGTTCTGTTACAACAATCAAGTTTTATTCAATTTTTTGCCAAATCTTCTCAACTACAGCTAGCCAAGGAGTTGATGATCAAAGGAGCTATAGTTTTATCCAGGCATTAAAGTTTTAAACTTTTTCTTTTCTTGGGAGGAAACTGACTGCTTTTTGAGACGCTGAGCTGATCATAGACTGTTAAGTTCATCTGAATGCATCACATAACAAAAGATGATAGAGTATGGACGGCAGCATGAAACGTATCAGACGGCACAAGCAGCAATAATGTGGGTTTGACGTCTTTATCTGTTGGGTTTACTAATGTTGGCAGATCATCTCAGGATTTATTGTTCTGAGGTCAAACCTGTGATCATGTAACAACACTGAATACTTTTTCTCCGTTTGGTGTGTACATATTTGCGAAGTGTAAGGATGCCCAAGCTGTTGGTATGAAAGAGAAAAATAACACCTATGGAAGCTTTAACCTTTAGAGAAATGTCACTTTTTTTTTTTGATAAGGTCAGACTTTATGTTCTTAGCTTTTTGTCCTATTGGTAAAATCAGTCAAAGCCAAATAACTCCAAGTAAACCTATTAGGTGCTGACCTACCCGCCTCTTCCTGTGTTTTTCTTACAGATTTATCTCTTAAGGGGTTAACCTTTGAAGTTGGCACATGTTGATAAATTTAAAAGGATCCCTCTGCTCCTGTGCTGAGGTCTATGTCTGTTGCTTCAGAAATCAAACTCAAACATGTTAAGTAAAACCTTTGTGGCTGTAAGATATAGGAACTGTTGTTGCCTCTATGGAAGCCCTGAAAGGATACAATTTATTTTAATCAATACGGACTAATTATATTTCTGCTCTCCCTTAATAACAACCTCTAAGGTCATAATATGTTGGTGGTGTTATCATAATTAGAAATTGAAAATTAAGGTCATCTTTGTGAGTTATAATTAATATAGATATATTTCATTTTTCCCATTAGTAATACCGTAATAATACACTGTTTTCTGTCAATGAGCGGAGTAAATGACATTTTTTTTTTTTTTGCCAGTCATAATTTTCAACATTAACAGTGTGTCTGTTTTTTGATGATGGAATAGAATTTGTATTTTTTAGATATTAGGAGAGACATTTTATCTACTGTAGTTAATGTCAAATCCAAAAGGAATTTGCTTTGCTTTCACTACTGACAAAAAATGTTTTTTTTTTTATTTCGTTTGAATCAGAAAAAAAAAATTGAAAAAAGAAAGTTTGAAACGATTTTGTTCCCTTCAGGGCTTCCGTTTTTTATTCTTTTGTGTTTGGTTTCTCATATATACTCAATATTTATTTCTTTATTTATGCGTGTGACTATCTAAAGGTTTAAAACCTTTGCTGCACGGTCAGCTGGGTTAAGCGAAGTCCAATCACATGTGTGACATGACTTTAATTAAACCTGTTGATTCTGTTTTTACTTTACTGAAGACCAAGTCAGACCTGCTGCATGTATCCTATCAGTTTTGTCATTTTTAGTCATTTTGATTTTAAGTGTTGTATTAACAAAAGCTTTTTGAACTCACAGAACATGTTGTGCTTTATTTGAATTTGTCTAATCTGTATATTGGTGGTGAACTTGTCTTTAGGTTTAGTTTTTTGATTTTCTGTTGAAATCTTTGATGACTGCCACTGTGCCTCTGCAATACACTCGTTTAGCCTTCTGAATCAGGTTTTCAGAGGCAGAATAAACACAATAAATCTGACCAAACTGTGTGATTGACTTCAGTTAAAATCTGTAACTATCTTGTTTAAACATGTATACAATCTTATCTTTGGATGCACAAAGTTTTTATTTTTTTTAATTCAACTCTCCAGCATCAAATTTGGAGAAAACCTGGCTATAAACATACTGACTTCCGTTTTAAATGATAAGTTTGTCGACATAAATTCAAACTTTTTCTAGGTGAAAGTATGACAATACATTAAAGCCCCAAGAATGTTGAATTTAGATAGTTCTTCTTCCCCTAATCCACTTCATTTCAGTAGGTTATGGAAACTCAACATGGCAATCATAGTAAGATGTAACTCAATTCAAAGCTCTCAGCTATGTTGTAATGTATTTATATATAATTATAAGATGAAATATTTTTACAGTTTAATCTTAAAAGAGTAAAAAAAGGTTAGATTTTACTAAACAAATGTCTAACAATCCATAAACACAGAATATAGGTATATATAAAGTATTTAACAACCTTACAATTTCAAGGGTTGGTGGTTCATCTTTTATTAAAATAAAATAATTAAACTTAAATGAAATTATATGTTGTTGGATATATTTCAAAAATGCAACCAGGCTTACACAATTAAAACTAAACTCTAGCTTCTCTTGTTCTTCTGGCCAAAAGCCATTGTAGTGCATGCCAATAGAGTTCTCCTTTACACTCCACTGATTCCAACTGGGCCCAAGAGAGCAGTAGTAATAACTGCACAAAGTGGCTCCAAGCAGCCCTGACAGCAACACACAGCTGCGTCTCTGAGTGGCAAAATTAGCTGAACTCAGCCTTCTAAAGGGGTGCTAATGGAGTCCATTGAGTCAGGGGATGTGGTGATGTAACATTTCCAAATGTGGAGCACCTGCTTCTGGTTGTAACTGTTGGAACAATGCAACACATGTGAAACTGTGTTTGAAAACCTTGCATTTGGGTATTTTTTTTTCTGCTTTCTGATTTGACATATTTGTGGTGCAGCGTCAGTCCTGCAGGAATAAAGTTTGGCATTGCTATTTTCTTTATGTCAAATGATTCAAAATCCCTTTGTACAGGGGGGACATCAGAAAGTGGATAGGCGGAGCTTAATGAAAGCCACTAGTCATGAGAATAAGCTTTCAACAGTTTGCACAACTTGACTCAAAACAAAACTGCACATGTATGTGTTTTGATAAAGTTGTTTACTCCTTTGTTTATTCCTCTCGTTTTTATTATTTTTTTTTTTCACTTTTTTGCAGCACTTCAATGTTTCAGGTCATTAAACTAATTTTAATGTTGGATAAAATTAGTCTGGTTAAATAATAATAAAAAAATTAAAAAAACAGTTTGCAGGTTATCATTCCAGGTGTTATGGCCAAAAATCAGCTACCTATATATATCTGGTCCTTTTTTTATAAAAAGCTCTCCTCTTCTTTGATCATCCATATTAATTAACCCTTTTTACAACCGTGCAAAAGACTTCTGTTTACAAACTCACTTAAAACCAAACCTTATCATAATGAACAAGACCAGAGAGCTGTAGAAGGCATTGATGAGCAACAGGATATTGGCAAGCAGCTTGATGAGAATGCAACAACTGTTGGTACAATGAAAATAATATTAATTAACTTCATTGATCTCACATTGGAGAAATTTACCTCTGCACTTAACCCATCCCCTCGGAAGCAGTGGTTTGCCATCGTTGGGAGCAATAGTCTTGCTCAGAGACCCAGAGAGGCAGTCTATGGGAGTGGGTTTCAAACTCACAAGCTCGGGATTCCAAGCTCTATGCCCTAACCGCTAGGCCACCACAACTCCTTAAGAAAAGAAAATATAAGAAGTTCAAGAGGATCAGTATCCATTTGTAGATGCATTCATGCCCTTGTAGGGCATCATAAGGTGAGGGATCAGTCCAGAGCTACAATAGAGATCCTGCACTATTCAATTCATTCAGCTGCGCTGGAGGTGGGATGCATCTAACTTTTGCAGGACAGAAGCTCTGGATCCCTTTAACCTGCAGCTCTGGTTAAATAACCGATCTCTCCCAACTCATTCTGTTTTTATGTGATTTTCTAAATGTCCAAGTTTCAAAGGAATTCAGGTTGTACATTATAGAGGAAAGTGCAGTAAAGCAGAATGTGGTCAGAGAGTAGAAACACACGAGGTAGAAACTAGTTACAGAGGAAGAGAGAGACGAGCACAGAGGATGAGTTCAAGAGGCCCTCGCCTCCACTTGACTCAGTCATGGGAATGATTAGATTATCGCCACATGAACAGCTGTCTTATATAACACAAGCATTTGGTAGTTCTGCTATCCCCATGGGGACACTTACCCACATTACATTGTCCACAGCCCATCACCCCAACCTTGAACCAAAGCAACTTAACCAACACCCTAAAACCAAAGCTTCATCCTCAGAGAGAGGTCTGGACTAGACAAAATCATCCCTGGGGCTGGCATGTTTTAAGTGCCCACAGGAATATGAAAGCAACACACCCACATACACCCAGAGATAACGAATGTAATGAGGTCTGTATTCTGGCCAATAGTCCTCACTGAGTGAAGGTGCCTCATAGCAACAGAGACTCGGAACAATTGGAGAGACAGTCCATGTCAAAGGGAATCTACAGCCAGCTCAGTCAGCTCTCTGCTGTGAAACAAATAAAATGCTTCCAGACGTTTCACAGTCCAGTTTATATTCTGAGCTGCCTGATTCTCACCTGATTCTCAAAAGTTTTACAGCATCTTTTGGTTCAGTCTGAGCTTACTATTACTAATCTATTATTATTATTATTATTATTATTATTATTATTATTATGAGGAATTAAAAGTCAGATGAGCAGCTTCTTCTGCTATTGTCTTTTGTTTGGTAATGATTTTCGGACTAGATGATGGAAGTTTGAAGAAACACAAACAGTAAGTAAGCCAGCAGTGCTTTTAATTCTTAATCTCTTTTTGAACCCCAGTCAGACTCAGCCACTCACACTGTGCCTGGTTCTGCTGGAGGTTTCTTCCTGTTAAAAGGGAGTTCTTCCTCTCCACTGTCACTGCATGCGCGCTCTGTGTGTTGGATTCCAGAAGAGTCAGACGCAATACATCTGAATATTTACTGTCGCCACATGCTCATACAGGAGGAGGATGTCTCTTTGCAATTAAAGGCTTTTCCTGGGTAGAAACTTTTCACTAATCTGACTGTTTTTTCTCTGTAAAGTGTCTTGAAAATACATGTGTTGTGGATCAGTGCCTTATAAATAAACTGCCAGCTGTACTCAGCAGTCTTTTAGCTCATTAATTACATCCTTGGTGCTCATGTTTACCTATGAAGTGATTCTTAATACATGAATTCATATTGTCTGGATGTGGAGACCATCTGAACCCGACATGCAAATTCAAACCTTAATAAAGTGCTGGTGACGATTCTCTGTCATCCAGCTCATAGACATTCCAAAAAAAGTTATTTTATTTAAAAAAACAATCCACTGGACTTGATTACCGAGTTTGAAGATTTTTCACTACCCATCCAGAAATGAATTGAAATTGAAAAACATCTTCAAACCTGGAAAAAAAGTCCAGTGGACTTTTTTTTTTTTTACCTTTTTGGAAGGAGATCTTAATAAAAGCCAAGGAGAAATGAAAACTGATCTGAAAGTCCTGTCAATCAACATTTAACTGATGACTAGGGCCAACAGCATGGAGTTAAGCCTGTTAATGATTTATCCATCTGGGCAGGAGCTGCTAAAAACATGCATTGCTGGTTCACATGTGGTGTTTAGCATGCGCAATATCTATTTTTGTTTAGCATTTGTAAAGCTTACCCAATTTACTTTTAATTCAGTAAATTAACCATTGATGGTTACAGAGAAGTCCGTTTTCTCTCTTAGTTTGTTTTTTGTTGTTTTATGTTCAGCATAATTTATAGACTCAGGAGCAAAAATGTTGGGAAAAGATTGAGGAAAAAACACCCAAATCCTGAAAAATCTGGCAAACATTTATGTACGTATTATATGAAAAAAAACTGTTTATAATTATAATTCCTTCTGTAATCAGTTAATTCAATACATTTCATAACAGATGTAATTAGGAAGAAGAGTCATTCATTTCTGCCCCCCTGTGGCTCAATAATATTTATACTCTGGAAATATGCTTTAAATT